TCTCTCTCTCTCTTTCTCTCTTTGTGTGTGTGTGTTTTCGAGACAAGGTTTCTCTGTAGCTTTGGAGCCTGTCTTAGATCTATTTCTTGTAGACCAGGCTGGCCTTGAACTCACAGAGATCCACCTGCCTCTGCTTCCCGAGTGCTGAGATTAAAGGCGTGTGCCACCACTGCCCAGTTCTTATATGATGTTCTACAGCATAAATTAGGTAGTAAAAGAAAGAAGGAATGGACAATAATTAATTTATATATGTGATTAAATTCATATCAAAATAAGAAATTAGGGGTATGGGCTACATGAAGGCTGCCACCAACCCCGCTGTACAAATACTGTGGCCATTTTGCTGACCCCCTTAACTGTTCATCCAGGTGAACAGCCATCACCAAAGTATGCAGCAGAATGTGGTGAACCTGTGACACTCAGCTGGAGAAAATGACTTCCTAACCCCTGCCTCTGGGGGACAAGATACCAGGTGTTGTCACACAGGATCCCTGAAGTGTGCTGTGGAGCCCACACTTCACAGGGTGTGTGGCTCTTCCCTGTCACTCTAGTCCTGGAGCTGCAGAAGACCCTGTCTCTGAGGAAGTTCAATTCCTAATTCACTAGGGCAACACTGTAACTTGTTGCGGGGTGGGGGGGGTGGGGGTGGGGGGGTGGCGGCGGGTGTGTGTGTCTGTGTGTGTGTGTGTGCGTGTGTGTGTGTGTGTGTGTGTGTGTGTGTGTCTTGATGGTTAATTCTGGCAGAAAATAGTCTGAGCTCCCAGGAATCTTTCTCGTTGAAAGGGAATACGGACTTATCTCATTATCCAGAATATTCAGGTTCCCATGGCACCTGTGGAGATAGCTATAGTTGATATTAAAATAAGGCAGCAAAACAATATCACCACAGGGAGGAAGAAAAAAAACGGATTAAAAAATGACAACTTTAAGAAAAGAAGAATGAAAGGAAGGAAGGAAGGAAGGAAGGAAGGAAGGAAGGAAGGAAAGGAAAGACCCAATATTTAGTATTTGTCTAGGACACCCCGTAAGAGTTCATGTGAATTGTCTAGGACTAGATAGAATTGGGATGTGGGACTGATGCAAACCTCACACACGGGGATCTGGGAGCATTTATTCTTTGGAAAGTTCTAGAAACTGGAGAAGCAGCCTAGAGTAGGAGAGTCCATGTCTCCGATCAGGTGAAGGAGACTCCGGTCCTGGTGTGTAAGGGCTGACACACTCAGATGACAGGACTCAGTGTCCACACACTGGGTGTGGGCAGAGAACCCGGCCTTGGAGAAGCCCTGGCTGACAGGGGCTGCAGACTGAAGGAGCCACTGTTGGTGATGTCGGGATCCTCTCTCCTCCCTCCTGAGACAGATGTGGAACTGTCCAGGGAGAAGGCTGAGCCCTGGGAGGTCAGTGCAGTCCCTGCCATGCTGGATCAGGAGACCCAGGGACCCTGTCTGCCCTCAGAGACAGGGGCATGACCCCAGTGAGGGTTTCCTCTTCCTCTTGACTGAGCCCAGCCCGAGGGCAGAGGGAGGAGTTGCCCGCGACCCCCGCACCTATGCGCAGCAGCGCGTCCTTCCCGGTCTCCAGGTATCTGCGCAGCCAGGGCACGCACTCGTCCTCCACGTAGGCCTTGTATCTCTCTGCCTCCCCATCCTGCTCCCACTTCCGCTTGGTGATCTGCGCCGCCA